CTGGATTAAGATAAAGTAGTGTGGGTCCATATTCTCACCCCATCCCACAACTTGAACTATGGGAATAATTGCTTCAATTCATCACTGTGCCTCAGTTACCCAAATCTAAAAGAATTCTGCCCAATTCCCAGCACATAAAGGAGATTATGCACTTGGTGGTAAGCTAGGGGAGGAAAGAGGGGGGACAGGAAGTGGCCACCGTCAAGTGCCCCTGACCCCAAAGGATATTTTAAGGCCTACCCCTTACCATTCCCTCTCATCCATCCAGCCCCCCTCTAGGGCTGAAGCACTCTGTTCCCACCATCTCAGGGGGAAGGGGTGGAACAGCAGGACATTTTGTTTCCCAGAAAAAGCTCAGGTCAAATTTCAAGGACAAAAGTTAGCACTTGGTCTGGGAAAGGGAATTCTGCCAAATGGAATAAATGGGGGGGAGGGGGGAACGGGGATTAGAACTCTGCCAAATGGAATAAATGGGAGGGCAGGGATTGGAACTCTGATTGCCCCTGCCAGGATCTGTCTGGCAGGATATGGGTATCTCACCCCACAACCAGGAGAAATAACTCAGACAACCTCCTTCCATTTCCCATCTGTCCACAAAAAAGGGGAGTGAGCTTTGGTACTTTTTGTGGGACCCATCCACCATGCCACCCCACCCACCAGATTTGGCCTGAGCAGAAGAGGGAGGTGCCATAAAGGGCTCTCCAGCCCAGAGATGTTGCCGGAACTGCTAGGAGAGGAACGGGTAGCCAGCCGGTGTTGCCATGGCAACTTCCTCCTGCGCTGGATGGAAGCATCCTATGGGCAAATCAGAGCTGGCTGCTCCAGCTTCTCCGCCCTTCTCATGGGCGGGGGAGAACTGGCCGCCAGAACCACTGGGTCAGACTCAGGAACACCATCCTCAAGTCCAGACCCCAATGTAACAACCCCCTTTGGTATTTGCTGAAAACTGGAGACACCCATGTTCCCCAGCTGTGCCCCAAGGCAGAGTGGCAGGGGTAGGACTGTAGATTTGATGAAAATTAACTGTTCAGGAAGAACAGGGACATGGGGAGCTGGACTGCTCACCTTCTTGTTCTGCATGCAAGTGCCCCATATCCCCATCTTTAAACCAATTCCAAGAGGGAGGGCCCAACTCTGCCTTAATAGCAGTAACAATGCGATAAAATTAACTTATTAAAAATTATAAAAGCTAACATTTTTGAGAATCAGGTCTTCCTGTTCCCCAAACCCACAGATTCTTTTTTATAGTCATGCTCAGGAACAATTCTTGGTAATAAGACAGATAATAGCTAACAGGTATTGCGAACCTACCTGGTGCCAGGTACTGACTGTATTAAGCCCTTTGCACAGCACAAATGACTGTATTAAGCCCTTTGCACAGCACAAACAGCATAATAATCAAAAGCACAGATGGCTGAGTCAGACTGTTCAAGTTCAAATCCTAACTCCCTCACTTCCAGGTTGAGTGACCTTGAACAAATACTCTCTCTGTGCCTCAGTTTTCTCACCTGCAAATGGCGATATTAAATGTTAATTTTATAGGGTTGCTATGAGGAAAGAATTAAAATTGTATATTTAAAGTGCCTAGGAGGATGCTAGTCAAAGGTAATCATTTTTTAAATGTTGACCTTATGTGGTCCATGCTATTATTTTCTTTCTTATACAGATGAGAAAACCAAGGTCCTGTGTCTAACACCTCTCCACCTCCCCTCCCCAATTACAAACCCAGTGCCAGCAAGGCTGAGTGATGGAGACACAAACACAAAAATGTCCCCAAGTACAGCTCTCCCTAAAACTCAGCATCTTTGTGAAAAGGAGAAAAAGCAGCATAAGAAAGGAGTTCTGAGTGTGTAAGGGAAGATGCTCCCTGAGAGGAATTCTAGGAATCTGCAATGACCAGCACCCGGAGCCCCCAGGGTGGCTAGAAAGGGGTGGGAGGAAGGGGCAGCTTCCTTTGCCCACAGAATGTCCAAACCTCCCAAGTCCAAGACAGGAAAATGCTCTGGCCCAGTTAAGGCTAATGAAATAGTCTCCTCTTCATACGGTTTCTCAGGAAACCAGCTAAAGGGTGGCATGTAAGCCCTGAGGAAGGCTGTGGCTCGATCTAGTTGATGGAAAAGGTGCCTTCAACAGGAGTCAGAAGCAGCAAAAAGGGGAGGCACCTAGATGAGCCAGAGGCCCTTCAGGACACACTTCTGAGCCATTAAGGGACCCTGGGGAGGGAATGGAGAAGAGGAAGATGGAGTGAAGCTGGTTCTGACCGCCTTCCTCCTGAAGCAGTCTCTGTCCAGTATCTGAGAGATTTTTCAAGCAGCTTTTAGAAATTAGTTCAGAGCGATGCTGTTCTAAAAGAATAACTCCAAAAGGCTTTTTTTAGGAGAAAATTAATGACTTTGAGGAGAACAAGAGAAATTAAGCACCAAGGCAATGCTCCCTACTTCCGATTTTCACCAGACACTCATTAGTCTTCCGGAAATGAAACTTGACTTTCTCCCTCCCCCTCCCAAACTCCAAGCATCCCTTAAGATGAACAGACAGAGAGCATGAGATGCCCAAACCAAACTCTTGGCTGTCAGCCACTCCCTGGGGCCTCCTCACCTGGGAACCATTTTCTACACAGAGAGATTTTGGCTCTTTAAAAATCTTTCAGAGGGAGGGCTAGTGTTTTACTGGAAAGAGAACCTGATTTTAGGCTCAGCTCTGTGTCTGCCTCACTGGGTGACCTTGGGTTTTACACACACACATACTGGGGCTTGTCTATCATACACATATATACATTCTTTCTCTCCCACTCCCACCCCCTCTCTCTCGTTCATTTGAGGGCAAAAAGAAAAAAGGTTGGATAAGATGATTTCTAGGTTTTTTCCAAGTGAAAAACTTAAGAATTTGAAGAAACCCACTGGAAAAAACATCAGGTGGACCTTTAAAAAATCTCTAATATTACACAAAGTTACCTATTCTGACTTGAGTGAAACTAGAGCAAGTCACCTGCAACCAGCAGTAATCACGAAAGCATCTGACCCATGACATGAAGCATGACTTCGGAGAAAAACCTAATTGTCCCTGCCACGGATACTCCTGCAAACCCATGCTCTTGCCCAGCCTGGCTCTTGAAACCCAAGTGGCCTATTGAACTTCAGGAGAGTCCCTGTCCATCAAGTCAGAGGTGGGGGAGCCTAGGCTGGTGGGGCTCCTTTCCCCAGCCCCAATACTCACCTGATTTCTTCTCTCTGATTTTGCTCCAATGGAGGCCACTGCATTAGAGAGCCCCTCCATTCCTCCTCACCTTGCCTTGTCCAGAATAAGACAACTTCCCTCAGCTACATCAAGGGGGAAGTTAGCCCTTTAGCCTCAGTTATCTTTCTGTAAAATGGTGACTCTGTAAAACGGCTCTGCAGTAACCATCTTCACCCCACCCCCATCTCTAGGTCAACAGCAAGACAGGTCTGCCAAGGGTCTGCCTCAAACACTCCCATTCATTCACTTAGCCAACAAATTCTTCTGGAGAACCTTCTCCCCTCTTCTCCACCTGCCTCCTACTCCAACAAGAAGATGTGAGTCTCCATCATCCAGGGCTCCATCCCATGGTTTATCAGATAACAGGTTGACCACACAAGGATCCCTACAGGCAGGGAGTCTTAAGCAGGGCCCATGAACTCCCTAAAACTACAGACAAAATTTTGTGGATGTGCACATGTGGGGGTTTTTTTTGTGTGTTTTTTATAAAGATAGTCCATTTTTTCATCAGGTTCTCAAGTGTCCATGAAGCCATTTTGCTCCTCTCCATCACATACACCCCTCTTGCCTTTTGTCCCCTGACTGAATTTAAATACTCTCAGATTTTCAGCCTGAAAAACACTTTAACTCCACACTTGTGTCTGAGGTATTGTCATCCCATTTTCCAGATGAGGATATTGAGGCTAGTGGTGGCACGAGTTGCCCAAGGTCACAGCTAATTAGTACAGGAGCAAGACTGGAACCTGATTCTGACTCCCAACTGGCACTCTTTGGGGAACTCTCACCCAAGCCCTCTAGCTACCCTACCTGTTGGTGAATTCGCTTCCACGGGGCAGAACCTGATCCAGAGCCCTTATGTTCCCTCTGCCTGGTCGCAGGACCCCAAAGAGCAGGTGTCCCTACATTTCCCGGCCCCTCCGGCTCTGGCTATGGCTGCGGGCCGGCCAGGGAGCCAGAGGTTAGGGCCGCTGGATGGCGCCCAGGTTCAGCCCATCCAGAAGGGCTTCTCCAGGAACCAGAGCGCCCGGGGTGAGGGGCACGCTCCAGGGGGCGCGCAGGTGCGGAGCTGGCGCCGCCCCGCGCCTCCCTCCGGAACCTGCGGGCTGGGAAGGAGAGGATAGGCCGTCGTCCGGCCAGTTCCCCCACTCCAACCCCGGGGTCCACTCCAGTCTGATAAGAACCAGGAGCCCAGGGGCCCCACCTCTAGGAGAAGCGAAAGAGAGGCAAACAGGGTGCTAAAGGCCTTGGCCGCAGGGCAGGGGGTCTAGGGCAGGGAGCCTCTGGATGCAGCCAAGACAAAGATGGAGAGTTAAGGTCTGCGCGCCTCCTCCAATGGCGGGGGCGGGGAGAGGGACGCGGGCGCGTCGGCGCCCCAGGGGTGAGGCAGCCGAAGCCCCGTGATTTAAGGAGCCGGTACACACAAGAGGTTCGGGAAGGGTGGTAGGTCCGATGCAGGGACAAGACAGGAGGCGCCCGAAGGCGCAGGTGAGGAGGGAGAGCTGGGTCCAGGCGACCTAAAGGGCCCACCTGCGGGAAAGGGGTGAATGCAGAGGATGCAGGGGTCCCTAGGGGGCGACGGGAGGCTAGAAGACACCGCCTCCTAGAGACCCCGGGGCCCCGTGGGTGGGGAAGGAGACCCTGGGGCGCACCCCGAGCGGAGCTGGGGGTGGGGAGGAGAAAGAAGCCACCCCTAAGGGCGCACCGGGTCCGGGAGGGGGCCTCCGGCTTGGGCCCCCGGGACGGCCCCCGGGCGGCGCGCTTACCCGCGTCCTCGTCGTCGAAGGAGTTCATGCACGGGAAGTAGATGGCGAGCGCCTCGAAGGAGGCTGACAGGCTGAGGCGGCTCTGC